ATCTGGAGCCCATGGAACATGGAAAAACAGAGATTTAATTCATTGCTCAAAACTGCAGATTACACCTCTCTTCTTTTATTTCTCCACTGKGTGTTGGCTCTGTGGAAGCCCAAAGCCAAGATCTGGGCATTTGCAAAAAATAATAACAAAACCTGAAGTATTTATGRCATGATTCTTTATCCAGTGAAGTTAATGAGATAAAAATCTGCTTTAAAATCTGTTCCAGAGAGAGCTGTGAGAGACCCCCAGTGACTGACAGCTCTGTTAAGTTGGGGTTAACTCAGCAATGGAATCATCCTGTTAAAACCCTTGGATTGTGTCAAAAGTCAGGCTGAAACCCTGCCAAGACATGGCTCAGATCACCCACTAACAATTCCACATATTCCCTTCATTCTGGAATGTTCYCTGGTGGAAAATCTTTGTTCCTTTCAGTCTCATTAGCAAAATTCCCCAATTCCCATTCTGCCTCATTCCAGGTGCCTGCTGGTTGTGAATCCACATTTCAGTTCCCCTTCACTCTGTGTGTTTGACCCCGCTTTTTTTTGGTCCCTCTGAAGGATCTGAGAGTTGCAGAATTCCTGCTCTTGGCCCCTGGTTTAGCAGGGGATGTAAAACAGAGTGAAAACTGAATCTGAAAACTGTTGGAGGCTCCTCCTGACTGCACAACAGAGCTCCTGGTACTTCAAAAATGAATTGAATAATAACTGAATTAGTTAAAAAATGGAGAAGAGGAGGCAGGGAAGGTAGGAGGTGAGGGAAATTGTCCTTTTCTCCTGACATCACCATCCRAATTTAAGTGACACAGCAAAGACCRTGGATTTAGTTCTGTTTACAAAACTGCCTCTACACATCCTTCCTGCTCTTGAAAGGTTTGCACAGCCTTTAAGTCATTTTTCCCTCTTAAAGGGGCACTGGGAAGATGCTTTTCTGCACCCACAATCTGGATTTGATGTGTGTGAGGAGCAGGGGTGGAGGACAAGGCAGGTTCTCCATTCAGGTTTTTATAAAAACCTCTGCCTGTGTGATCCCCAGGGCCTGGTGGGCTCCAAAGACAGATTTGCCATTTCAGGCAAATCTGAAAATCTTGGGGCTTCTCTCATAATTGGGAGGGGATCTTTTTCTGTCACGTGCAAATTCCATCCAGTTCAGGGGCTGGGATCTGGATGGGGATTTCTCCATACCCAGAAAGTTCCAAGGCTGTTTTCCATCATTTCCACCTAGAAATGGAARTGCCCTCAGGGGTTCCATGGCCAGAACCCAACTGCAGTTACCAACAGTGTTTATAATGTTCCTTCAAAAATTCTAAAGCTTCAAATTGCAGCGACTTTTGCCCCTGCTGTTCCCAGTAGATGCTGCAAAACCCCCACTGTCTCTGATGGCCAGAAACATCCTCATTTCCAGCCTACACATATCCACTGCTGGCCTGCACACATTTATTCTTAACATCATGTTTTAGCATAAATACATTTTCCCTTTTGTTGGTATTTTCCCTGTGGTGTTTATGTAGAATAATCAAATTCTCCCTTTGGCTTTCTTTTTTTCTTGCCAGGCTAAACAAGCCAAGATATTTCTTTTCCTCTCACAAGACAGCTCCTCCTGCCCTAATCTWGCCTTCAGAATCTCTACTTGAACTGAAATTACCCACAATTTACAAGTAGTTCAGATGAAATTTTGCCAGGCCCCATAGAAGAGTGAGAACTCATCTCAGAGATAATTACCTGATATTTTCTGGGGTTGCTTTTAGCTTTTTCATGGCCATGTCACATTTGTGACTCTCCTGGGATGGGCTAACAAACCTGAACCCTTCACCTCTGTCCTTTCCAGCAGCTGCCAGCCCACAGCAGAAATTCTCTGCATTAGCCTTGTCCCTGGCCTTCATTTTTTKAATTTCATCTTGGTTTTCTCACTCCAATTCTTGAAGTCTTTGAGTTTTTCCTCTCTCATAGCGTGGTCCTTCTTTCTGTTAAAAGTGCCCTAAAAACTTCAGTGGGACCTTCTGAATGCTGTTCCTCCTCGTTCTGTCCTGAGGTCATTAATTAATTGATGAATTAAAACTCAAGGCTGACCYTTCAGGAATTGCCTGGGAATCTCCTTCCTTTAACCAGTGCTTTCCCCACCTCAGGACTGCCAGAGAAATCCACAGTTTGGGATTTCCCAAATCCCCAATCTGTTTTTCTGGTTTGATCCCACCTCTAATGCAGAGATCCCACATTTATGCAGTTTGAAAATCTGAAAAACATATTTAATGATGTAAAAATCTAGCTGGGTCCCTTTGTAAATATACATGTTGTAATCTAATGTGAACATCAGTGATTTCAGATCCTAAATCAGTGATTTCAGATCCYAAATCAGTGATTTCAGATCCTGAAAGTTGAGGGGATTTTAATTGCTGTGCTCCTGCTTGTTTTTCACAGCCAGCTCACCTCGCTCAGCCTAAACTTTGCCTTTTCCTGATGGTCCACAGCCTCCCTGCACCCTCTCTGGTGTGATCCAGACATGAAGAGGGAAAAKGGAGGAGTTTGGAGAGGTGTCCCAAAACTCTAGGAAGAATTCACTGCAGTTTGGATGTTAAATTAATGTTGTACATCCTCTACAGAATCCTCCACAGGACCAACACCACATGTGCTAGAATCTGGTCCTGCCCTGATTTTTTTCACTGATTATTCAGCCTCATTTTGCTTTTACTGTGGAGTTTCAGGTCCCTAAAAGTTGCTCAGCTCCTCATAGCCAACAAGAGGATTTTTGGCTGGGAAGTGTTGTCCCCACTGAAGTCTCTGCTAAAAGAGTGACTTAACCCACGTTCATCTTTATCCAGTGTTTGTGCTCACAGGGTGTGTGTCAAATCCCATTTCGTGGTGGGAAATGCAATCCTACAGGAAGGACTTAATGGTAAAAATATCTTTACTCTGGTTTAGCATGGGTGGACAGCTCTGAGCACAGGAGGAGAACATCCCAAGCTCAGAACTGAAATACACAGCACACACACACCCCCAAATTTATCCTGAGGCACTCCAAGTGCTCATCCATGGGCAGGGGGCTGATGAATGTGGTGTTGGATCTCTGTGGCCGTGTCTTGGTGCCTTTGCTGGTGCCAGCATGTGACACCGAGCTCGGGATARTGACTGGAAGGAAGCCTCGTTTATTCTGCATGGCAGGGGGCTTTTCAATCTCACTCACAAAGRCACAACAAGAGCCAGCAACTGCAACTTGGACAAATTCAACCTTGAAATGAGACACGGCTTCCTGGCTGCCAGGAGAATTAAAGTTTGAATTGGCTTGTGAGAGGAAAACCGTGGAGTTGCCATAGCTTGGAGTTCAGACAAGACTTGCTGCCTCTGAAAAGGGTTTCTTTAATGCAGCATTTTGGAGGAGTTCTGTGATTTGTGTGTGCAGGAGGTCAGTTGAAAGGAGGGGAGCGCTGCTGTCTGGCCTTGGTGGGTGAATTACTGGATGTGATTAAATGACCTTTTTGGTTTGGGTCACTGAGTTTCTATAATAAAAGGATTGGCTGCCACATGGAGAGGGCTGTGAGCYGGGCAGGAAATAAAAATGAATCTGTCCTGCTGTCTGTTTGACTGTAAATAACCCAAGTGTTGCTATTTAGCCTATTTAAAACCTGCAGAAATGTTAATAGTGAAATATTTCGGTGGTGGGACAAGACTTTGATTCCAAACAACTCCCTGTTCTTTAAGGATCTTTCTCTTTACAGGATTTGTCATTTTGCTCTTCATTAGAGCCCRTTTTGTATTGATCCTCCTTGGGAAGGTGGTGGGGATGGAAARTGCCTTTGACCATTGGGAAGGCAGCAGGACTCACTGCTGTTTTTAGGTCCCAGGAGAAATCCCAAGCAATGATTATCGTTATATTTTCATTCTCTTTGCCTTCAACAACCAACCKTGAAGGCTGAATTCAAACTGCCTGCTTTAAAGATCTTGAACAGAGTCCCAGAGTAACTGAGCTGAATTCTCCATCAGATTTGGATTTCTAGGATTCATCCAGTCTGAATGCGGGCAGAATTTAAATTTAGGGATTTTTAATGCAGCCCCTGCTTAATTCCAAGGAGCTGCTCTCAAAATGYTCCTGCAGCTTTAATAGAGGCAGGTGAGATTGTCAGAAGTTACTAAAAGTAGCTGAACTTTGCCATCCTCAAAGCCAACAGAAAAACCCTCTCAGTGCTTCGATGGCAAAAGGATTGGGCATCCTGGCACCTCAAACTCCCTTGGAGGGAAAAGGGGATCATTTTTTCCATTCATGAGCACTGTTTTTGCATCAAGATTCCTTTGGAAAAGTGGCTGGAAGAGGTGYTTCCCAGCTGGCCAATTCCCACTGCTCCCAGCAGGTGCAGCTCTGCCCACTCAGGCACTGCCAGCAGTGTTGGATCCAAACTCCAAGCCAAGACTAAATTTTGTGTCTTTCAGGGAAGAGTTACATAAAAGGCACTGGAAAGGGTTTTGTGCAGCATTGTTGGAATAATTTCAAACTAACCAACAGTGGGTTGATTGAAAACATTGGGGTTTTAAGGACAAAACTCTTTTTATTCCGGATATTCTGCAGTCAGGAACTGAAATGAAACTCATTTTGATTTTTCATTGTCCACCAGCATAACAAACATAAAAAGGCTGGATTAGACCGTGAGTTTTACCAACTGAAATCATTAATGAAGCAATTGTCTTTTTGCACAAGGGTTCTTGAGTTTTACCAACTAAAATTGTTAATGAAGCAATTTTCTTTTTGCACAAGGGTTCTCTGTGATTGTGATGTTTTTTGAGACCAGGCCTGGTTCGTGCTGCTCTGCTCAGTGTGAAATCCATAATTTTGGGAGCTGGAAGGTGGCTGGGCAGGTCCGAGGAGCTCTCAGTCCATCAGTGGCTGTGTTTTTACAGTTCATTAGTCCATGTTTAAAAATACCACRCTGCCAGTTTATCTCACAGCTGGGTTCTCAGCTCTTCATGCACATTCTGAGCTAATTTCTCGCTGAACAAAACCTCCTTTTCCTTCAGCTTGCAGATTCCCTCGTGCCCTTGGAGATCAAGCCCGGTATTTCCTTGGCAACAGTTTCCGCCGTGCTGCATACTAARGACAACAAGCACGTTCTGCAGGTACAGTCTGATGGGGAAGGGAGAAAATCCCTYTATTGGGGTTTTTCCTGCTATCCAGGACCCCAAGAMCCCCCCTGACAGCTCCTTCYCACCAGAGCAGGGCCCTTGGCAGAGGCTTTGACCTGGTGAGTGAGGAACGACACCCGGAGCAGGGATGCAAATCAATCTCTCTGCCTCTTCTCCTTGGCCGTGTGCCCGGCTGAGATAAAAGGGAAGTGAGATAATTCCTGAGGAGAGGCTACAAATCATCCTGCTGTCTGCCATGCTCAGGAACAGCATCAGTCAACCTCTCAGGACCGAGGGTTAGAGGGGAGGGACAGCCTGGGACATCAGACTCGGGAATGGAGCATCTGCTGCAGTTTCCCTGCTCTCCARGAGGATCTCAGTGCTCTGCAGGAGGAGGTGATGTTCAGAAACCTCCCCTGGGCCCCTCTCTGAGCTCCACGAGCCTGCAGGGACTCACAGAACAGCCCTTCCCACGCCAGGCAGCAGAGCTGGGCAGGGCCCAGGATCCTTGGGATGAGAGCCCAGGCTGGAAATGCCAGGGACAAGAATTTGGGCACAGATTTGTGTCAGTGCACAGCAGACAGACTGCCCTCCTCTTTCCCAGCTGGTTCCCTGGAAACATTGAAGTGTTGCAATGGAATTGGTCTGAGGCTGCTGCTGTTCTCTCTCTCTCTCTTCTCCACTCCAATTCCTGCTGCCAAATAAACTCAGACCTGGGCTTAAAACTCCAGGGTGCTCATAAACAGCTGGAGCAAAGCCACGTTCTCATTCCCTGAGTGRTTCCTTGCTCTGAATTTGCTCATTTCCCACCCTGCTGCATCCTTTAGAGTGGATTTTTTTTCTTCTCCTCCATCAGCTCCCTCCCAAACCTCCCCAAGCTCCTGCCAGCAAGAAGAGGAAGCGGGTGAGTGATGATGTGCCCGAGTGCAAATCTCTGAAGCCGTTGCTGAGTGGCTCCATCCCCGTGGACCAGTTTGTGCAGACTCTGGAAAAGGTGAGGAGTGTTGGGTGGCAGGTGGGATTGCAGCAGGTTCCTGCACATCTCAGATGTGTTGTTTTGGTAGCACAGAGAGGGGAAATCATTTTAGAGTAGCTTGAGATGGGGAAAGGCCATGGAGTTCCCAAAGTTCCCACTTCTCTTGAGTGTAGAGAGAATTGTTCCTGTGGCACCATGTCCTGCTAAAGGGGCKTCACATCAGTCATCTCCTGATTCCCATGGAAGCAGAGTTTTGGGGTGAGTGATTTCCTCACAGAATTCAGCAGCTGAGAGGGCCTCAAAAGCATTTAAATTTCCCTAAGATTTGTGAGAAGGTGACTGAGTGAAGAACAGGTCCTGGAAATTCCTCCGCTGGTGGAGGAGCTTCCTGGGAAGCTGCACAGATTTGGTTGCTRCTMTGTGGAGTCTTGTTCTCAGTACTTRTTTCTCYRGGATTTCATSGAGAAAATGAGCTGGGAAAAGGRCAGGATTGCAGCCTTGCAGTGCCCAAAGGGGCTCCAGGAAAGCTGGAGAGGAATTTGGGACAAGGGATGGAGGGACAGGACACAGGGAATGGCTTCAAACTGCCAGAGGGCAGGGATCGATGGGATATTGGGAAGGAATTGTTCCCTGGGAGGGTGGGGAGGGGCTGGGATGGAATTCCCAGAGAAGCTGTGGCTGCCCCTGATCCCTGGGAGTTTCCAAGGCCAGGTTTGATGGGTTTGGAGCACCCTGGGACAGTGGGAGGTGTCCCTGCCATGGCAGGGCTGGGATGGGCTGATTTTTAAGCTCCCTTCCCACCCAAACCATTCCATGATTCCATGAAATTCCCCCTCGCCCCTGTGCCCTTCTCCCTCCTCTCTCCCTGTTTTCCTGAGCTCTGGTAATTCCTCCTCTCTCCCCCCAAACCCAGCACGGTTTCAGCGATGTGAAGGTGGAGGACACGGCCAAGGGCCACATCGTGCTGCTGCAGGAGGCTGAGACKCTGATCCAGCTGGAGGAGGACTCCACTCACATCATCTGTGACAAYGACGAAACCCTCAGGGTCAAACTGCGTGACCTGGTGCTCAAATTCCTGCAGAAATTTTAGCTCCTGGACGTCAGGAGGCTCTGCAAGGACAGAGCCTGGAGCAGGAGAGCTTGGAGCTCTCCAAGGACAGAGAATTCTGGGATTCAGAGACCACAAATCACCTTCGTGGAGGAGCAAGGGAGTATTTTTCATATCCATCTATTTTTTAAATTTCATTTTAAACCTTTTTTGGAATACTTGGGTGAGATACCTGTTACGTAAAATTGGGAGTTGGGAATCTTACAGGAGATGGGAACTTCAGAGTAAATAACTGGAGAGTTTATTTACAGCATCGTGGCAAACTGCTGCTCCTCTGAGTCCCTCAGCAGTGTCTGCCCAGTCCTTCACCTGACAAAACTCTGCAGGAGTATTCAAACAATGGCATTTTCCCTCCCACTGCTTCTCCCCAGTCCCCAGATCCCATTCCCTGCCCCTCCTCCATCTGTGTCTCTCACTGGCACGAGGAGGAGGAGAGAGCTGGTGAGGCAAAGATTGTACAAACAAAAACAGAATAAGAGAGTCTGGTGGGCATGGAGAATAGTGGGAAGAGCCTGGCCATTCCCTGCTGAAGCAGAGGCACTTTGGAAAAGCTTTATCCATTGGGAATTCAAGGTTTATTGATGCTGCAGCCTCCCCTGGCACACCCAGACCTGTCCGTGGAGCTCCAGAGCTGTTCGTGGAGCTCCAAAGCTGTCTGTGGAGCTCCAAAGCTGTCCGTGGAGCTCCAAAGCTGTTCGTGGAGCTCCAAAGCTGTCCGTGGAGCTCCAAAGCTGGTTCCTCCTGGGTTCCTCCAGCAGCAGCAGAGGAATCGCCTCAGGAAGACTCTTAAGGAAGTCCATAAAGTAGGAAAACCCCTAATGCTCATAAAAATCCTTTTGAGATTTAAGTGCCTCTTGTTTCTACCTTCMAAAAACTTGTCCTTGCAGCTCCCCATCCCAAATCCTGGACGAAATTGAGTCGTTTATCCAAAGCCATCTGTGCTGCAGACCCGGGGAGGCTTTTCCCTCCCCAAATCACGTATTTGGGACCTAACCTTAGTGAGAAAGATTGCTTTTAAAAGCAGCCTGTTTCTCAGATTTACTGCTGTTCATTTTTATTAGGTTGTTTTGTATTTATTTGGTGTTCAAAAATAAAAAGCAGAGTGAGACTGCCCAGGAGGGAGCACATCCCATGGTTTGTAAAAGCCTCTCCATGCCCATCCCACATCCTCATCCCAACACCTTTGGGAAATAAAGCTCCAGTTCATCCCTTTGGGGAGATGGAGGCAGTGGGAGCAGCTCTGGAATGAAATCTCTGCCACTGCAGTGTCCAAACCCCATTTTGGTTCCCGTTGAGGATTTCTGTGGGATTGGGTGTGCAGATCCCATCCACACCTTTAGTGTGAGGAATGGTGTCATCAATGGGATCAAAACTTGGGCCAGTGGGATTCACTCCCCATCAGGGTTTGTTGCTTTGGCATAATTTAAAAACAGCAAAAGAACTGAGCATAGTCCACCTTTTTGAGCTCCAAAGGGATTATTCCTAACCCACAGGAGCCATGGGATAAACTCGTCTTCGTGCTGGTTCCCCCAGCTCCAGCACTGATCCCACTGCTCCAGCACCTTCCTTTTCACATTCCAAAGGCTTTCCCACCTTCCTCAGGGGAGAAATTAAAAATTAAAAGCTTTTACGTTTTTCTTCCTGACATTTTGAGCAGGAAAATTTCTTCTTGTTCCATCAGTCCATCCAGCAGGTGAGAGTGGATTGTTTTGTTATGTTCAGGTTGTGCCTGCTGGAAAAACAAACATGCTGGGAGGGGAATTCTTTCATGAGGAATCCTAATTAAACTCAGAAAAGGAGTGCCTGTTCCTTCTGCCCAGAGCAAGAAAAACAAACAGCATTTCTTTGGGCTGGCTCAGTCCTGCAGAGGGAACTGTGGCAGCCCCGGGAGCTGCCAGGGGA